TCAAGCCAGGCCCCAGGTCCAAAGGATCTCAGGGAGGGACTGGGTCTCTCCTAAGAAGAGGCAATGGTCTTTGGGTGCGATGTGCCAGTCTTGGAAGCAGCTCAGCTTCCAGGGTGGGCAGCTCAGTGTTGGTGCCACGGGCAGAAGAGGCCCAAGGTCAGAGCCAGTGGCAGCAGCAGGACAGGCCCCTGCCAGCCCTGGGCTGGGCCAGAGTTGAGGGTCTCGTGGTTCACGCAGAGGTTGCTATCAGGCAGGGACTCCTGGTAGGGCACCACGTGCATCTGGAGGTCTTTCGCATGGAAGTGGATCCAGGAGGCGTAGCTGGAGGTCAGGGTGTACACTCCAGGCCTGTTGGGTGCCCCACAGGCATCGCCCCAGCTCACGATGCCTGCCAGGTACCAGAGGCCTGGTCCTTGTGGGACCTGGCAGGAGAGTGGACCTCCAGAGTCCCCCTGAAGAGAAAAGGCATACAACAGCTATCAGGACCAGGTCCCTGGCCTCCAGTCACACATGCCAGTCTTCATCCCCCAAGATGCACCTGTCTTGCCTGCCCCCCTGGGCTTACCTGACAAGCATCCTTGCCCCCATCCACATAGCCAGCACACACCATGTCCCGCTGGATGAAGTGAGGCTCCTCGGGGTTGGCGTTGATGTTGTACAGGCAGTTACACGTCTCACGGCTGATCAGTGGCACCTGGAGTTGTTGTAGTGGCTTGGGGGTCTGCAGACTCACTGTGGGAGCAAAAGATGCTTGCCTAGGGCCTCCTCTCAAGTCAGGCTTCCCCCCATTAGGCATCAGGTGCCCCACCTCACCTGAGGGGGCCACATGGCCCCATCCAGTGACAGTGCAGGTGAGGCCATTGGGGAAGGAGGCGTTGGCTGCAGGAAGGCAGATGGGCCGGATGGTGCGGGAGAAGGTGACGGGGCTCTTGAGGTGGAGGAGAGCGATGTCGCCCTCAGAGCCCTCCGTCTGGTAGCTGGGGTGGGGGATGATCTTCTCCACGCTGCGGACCTCGGCGTCTTGGGAGTAGGTGTCCAGCTGGTGTGCCCCCAGCTTTACCTCGTAGTAGTCCTTGCTGTGCTCCCTGCAGGCAGAGGCGCAGGCTGCCACGAGCCTCCCCCTTCCCTGACCCCTGCCGCCTTGCGGATTACAAACCCAGATTCTGATCCCAGATAGTGCCTCTTAGGCCTCACATTACATCTTAGGTTTACCCTGTGAACTCTCACCCTTCACCTTCACTCCTTCCCGACTGTCCTTTCAGTTGTTACTGATACCTTCCACCCAACCCAAGGACCCTAACCTCTGATCTGAACTGACCCATGAACTGTGACCTCCAGCCCACTTTGAACTTCCACCCCCACCCCTACCCAGCAGATACCTGGGGAAGCAGTGCGCAGCCGACAGCACCCACTCATTTGACACGAGAGAACCGCCACACACATGGATGCCATCATAAGTGATGCTGACCTGCCAGGGCCACTGGCCAGGGTTTGCACTGCTCCCACCCGTGATGCGAGCTTGGGCGATCACACCGCAGGGGCCTGGCCAGGGAGGAAGGGAAGGGAATGAAGGTCAGGCCCTCCCAGGGCCCTATACCAGGTCCTTGGCCTACCACATTCCAGGTGCTCTGGTCTGGAGCCACCTCTCTGTCTGTCCCACCATCACTGCCTCAAATTCCGCTCTCATGGCAGCCTCCCCGTCCAGCCACTCCTTGCAAGGCTGAAGATCGTTACAAACCACACATCGGAACAGGGCACACTCCTTAAACCCTTCAAGGCTCCACACTGCCCTGAAGATACATCTGGACCTTCCAGGGCACCGCGTCCACTCCAGCCGTTCCCCTGGACAGTTGTGTTCCACTCCCAGGGCTTCTGGACCTCTGCTTATCCAGGTCACTACTAGGCTGTTTTTCCCAGCCCTACTCAGTTCGGTCAACTTTATTTGCCCCTGGAGGCTGTTCACATGGCAGCCCCTGTGCATTATGCTGCCTCCAGGCTTCCCCTTGCTGTCAAGTCTCGCCATTGTTCTGGTATCTACAGCTGTGCGGGTTTTAACCACACCAACCCGCGCATTCCCTAGGGGCAGTGTCCCCTGTCCCTGGTGGAGTCACAACAAGTGCTGAACAAACGAATAGAAGAACCCGCTCCTGTGATGACTGTCCCGTTGCCAGTGCAGCACCCCCTCCCCCGCCACTTCCCTCATCCCCACCCCCTACTGAGCCCTTTGGAGTGAGGCCCAGCTGCCTTTTCCCGAGTCACCTTCCCAGGAACAGAGAAAACAGCCCAACTCCTCCTCTCCCTCATAATCATGACAATAGCTGCTGTTCAGGGAGTGTTCGGGCAGTGCCAGGCCCTGAGGGGGCTTTCACTTCCTCTATCTCCCTGAACCCGCACTACATCCCCAGGAGACCGACGTAGCCAACTTCATTTCAGAGGCGAAACCGAGCCTTAGTTGAGAGGACCTGGCTGGTGACACACAGCCACTGAGTGATGAAGCAGGGTTGAAAACCTGTCTGACTCAGACTTGGCCTGTGTGCCACCCAAACCAAGAAAGGAGACCCTCGGTTTGTTCCCTTCAAAACGACCTTGAGTACCCAGCTTGGGAATCAGATTTGAGATTAAACCCCGGCTCCACCACCTGCCGGCTGTGCGCCCTGGGGCTGTTCACCGCTGCTCGGCGGCTTCTTCCCTAATCCGTAGGCAAGGGTTCCAGCGCCCCATGCAGCTCTGGGAGGGGTGGTCGGAGACGATGGGCGAGCCAGGCCAGCAACACGCCAGGGGACTCAATCCCCGTGTCCCCTCTCCTTTTCCCTCCCCCGTTTCCCCCAGCAAGTCTCACCTTCAGTCCCGTCAGCTCCTAGAGAGAAAAGAGAAAGGAGGAGGATTCAGTAGGGGAGCCCTGAGTTCCCAGACCCCTCAACTGCTTCTGGGGGCTGGCCTTTCCCTAGGAGGGTAGGCCGAGATTTAGGGAGGTGGGGGAGTGTCTTGAGCCTAGGACAAAGGATGCGCCCCAGGAAAGGGCTCGCCTGTTCCTCCTGTGGGTTATTACCCCTCCCAGTGCCCCCGCCTCACACACACTCACCTATCCTTGGCTGGAATACTCCAAGACAGAGCAGAACGGCCACAATTTCCAGCTGCCCAGGCCCCAGGCCCGCCCTTTGGGCCATGGCCCAGGACAAGGGCCCCTGGGACCGACACCAGACACAAGGAAAGGAACTTCAGCCGGTTTTGCGAGCAGGATCCAGGTGTCGGTTCAGTGGGACGGAACTGAGGATCCGGGCTGAGGAGAGCAGGTGTCCAAGGCTGGCTTCCAAGGCAAGAGCGGCCTCAGGTGGGAGAGGCCTGGGGTCTCCGCAGCGAGCAGCGTGGACGTGGCTCCGTGGACGCGGCTCCAGGACGGCCTGGCCACTCAGACCTGCCTGGAGTGGCAGCTCCTGGGAAGGCAGTTACCTGCGTGCCCCTCCCCTGGCCCCGCCCTGTTTGCTCAGCTCTGGCTTTTCTTGCCACCAATGTCCAGAGTCCTTCCAGACCTGGGCTGTGGGATGGGGTGTGGAAGGGTAGGGGTGCTGATCAGCCTCGGAGCAGCCTGAGGCAGGGCTGGAAACCCAGTGGCCAGCCTCCCTGGAATGTGACCCAACTGCAGTCAGCCCCAGGTCTTTCTGGCCTCTCAGACCAGTTATGCCCACGGGGCCTGGCCCAGACTTTGTTATCTTGGGGCCAGGTGCCCCTCCCTCCGCCCTCAGGCTCTGGGGTATCTGAGCCTAAAATGCCAGAGCCCACACACACACCCGCTAGGACCATTCCAGGGCCTTTCTGTAAAGCCCCGTAGCCTCCTGTGCCAGTGGGGAGCCTGTCTGACAGGGCCAATCATCCCACAAGTATTTACCACGCAGAGGGGACAAGACAGACACCATCCCTGTCCTCCCTGAGCTCAGGGTGATGGAGGGGTGACAGACATGAATCAAATAATCAAGGTTTTTTTTTTTTTTTCTTTTTCTTTTTTATTTTTTTGGAGAGGTTTTTGCTATAGGGTGCTTGCACTTGCCAGAAAGACAGAGAGAGACAGAGAGACAGAAAGCGAGAAATCACCCCCTTGGGGGATGGCCACACTGCAATCCCTTCTCCTCCATTTTCCTCTTGGGATCTAGGGCACGCACGCACACGCGCCTGGCGTGAGTTTAAGCCACCGGGTCCGGGACTCGAACCACAGTCGACTACATGGGAGTCCAGCGACATAGCCATTACACTAACTGCTGGTTCCCAAATAATCGAGTATTTCATACAGGAATTGTCATGGACGGAACAGGGGCTCTGAGCATGTGGCAGCTTGATGGGAGGCCAGTACCAGGAAGGACGCTGGACAAAGGGCCTGGAGAACTGAGACCTAAAGTGTTACAAGAAGGTGTTCACAAGACAGAGATGGGGACTGGGGTCCAGGGGAAGCATTCCCAAGTGGAGGGTGCAGGTGGCAGAGGTTTAGGGGAAAAAAGGCCCATGTGGCAGGTGGGGATCAGTCACACCCTTGAGAGTATGAATCTGGCAATTCAGAATGTGTGCTGGGGTCAAGCTTCAGGAAAAACAGAACTTCGCTGGGGCCGGCAGGGGCTTAAAAAAACGCCGGACTCCTACATGTACATGTGTGCCCAAAATCCCAAGAGGAGAATGAAAGAGAAGGGATTGCAGCATAGCCATCCCCCTTGGAGAATGATTACTCGCTTTTTGTCTCTCTGTCTCTCCAGCAAGCGAAGGCACCCTGTAGCAAAAATCTCTCGATAAAAAACAAAGAAGCAAAGAAACCCTTCACTTTCCCACCTACTTTGCAGAAGACAGGGCCCAGGCAGGAGGTCGGTGAGTTCCTAACATGGGTAACTGGAAAGGGGCTGACTCAGAAAGGAGTCTACGGGCAAGACACTGGGCAATGTGGGTAGGTTTAGGCAAAGGATGGGGTACGTTACGTGTTTGCGGGGGTGGCACATAGGTGACCCAGTAGTATGGGGAGCAGGCGGGGGCCGTCCCCGTGGAGATGGCAGGAATATTCTGTTAGGTACCTAGCAGCTAAGGACCATCCTCATCCTTCTCACCTCCCAGTGAGAGCCTGCAGCTTCCTTCTAAGTCCCCTCCCCCATTTTCTGCCTACTTAACCCTAACCCAGAGATTATGACCCCAGTCCCCCAGGGGGCCCCACTGCCAGCCTCATCAGCTGACTTCTACCTCCATAAGCCCTCCTTTCCCAGGCCCTCACTTGCTCTTTTTCTGGGCTCAAACATCACCTCCTCCAGGACTCCTAGCACCTTTCCTGGTCCCCAGCAGGGGGCATCCCCATGCTTCTCACTAGATTGGGAGCACTTTGTGGGCTTATATCAGGCCCCAAGTGCGCCAGGACTTAGCAGAGAATATGGTGAATGCAGGGAGGGGCATGGGGCAGTGGTAGGTGAGAGGGTGGGAGGTACACAAGGGACCCCAATCCAAGGGCACTGGGCAGATGGAGAAGTGGTGGGCTCCTGATGGGTCAAAGTGCCACGTGTCTGCTGGGGGCCCTAGAGACGTCACTCATAAGGGTGAGGATATGGAGGGACAGTAGGGTCTGAACAAGGGCTGAGGTGTCCAGCAGGTGCTGGGGACACTGATTCCACCGAGGAGGTGACACACGAGCAGCTGGCCACCCAACTTCCTTCGCCCTGGGGCAGGAATGAGGGAACAGCTGCCACGTTATCAAGGACACATTTCCTGGGAGCCCAAGGCCTGACTCACAGAGGCCCCAGGAGGGAGGTGCCCCATCCCTTGGGCTTCCCCGCAGCCCTGAGAGCACTCAGCCCCTCAGCCCGCCCCCAACGATGCCACACAGCCACGTGTCTGTGTTTACACCTTTATTGTTCACTCCTCCTGCCACCCCCAAGGATTCCTGGGCCCAAAATAGCCAGGCACTGAGGCCCAATTACCCAAAGCCGCTGCTGTCTGGGTGGGTGGGGCCCTGTGGAGGTTCTGGCAGGGGAGTCAGCCGGTTGGACCACATTCCCGCCCCACTGGGCGGGAAATGGAGGGTGGGGAGGAGGGGAAGTGGTGGGGGACCCAGGCCCTCTCAGCCCTGAATCAGGGGAGTCAGTAGCAGCAGGAGCAGAGCAGCCCTGGGGGGACCTGAGGCCCCTGCCATACCCAGGGGGCACAGGTTGCTGCCTTCAGGGGACCAGTAGGGGGGGCCACTGGGAGGCAGGAAATGGGCTTCCCCCACCGTCTGGGAGATCCAGGCCTCTTCAGGGCTGATGGCAGCAAACAGTTCCCGGCTCCCTCGAATGGCCATGCCCATGAGGACCCAGGAGCCCCCCTCAGTCTGGCACAGGAGGGGAGGTGCCGAGGTCACCTGCAACCAGAGCCAAGGCCAGAAGGGTCTGTGCCCCTTCCTCCTGGGTCCCCACACCTTCCCCTTCTCCCGGGGTCAGTCGTAGACCACCACGGTCTCCATCCTTCCCCCCCCCCGCCAAGGTCCAGTGGGATCCAGATGTCAGGCCCAGGTACCTCACAGCTGTCCTCCTGGCCCTCTGAGTAAAGGACACAGAGGGTCCCAGGGGGCAGAATGCCCTGATAGAGGCAGCCACAGAGGCGTGGTGTCCAAATGGAGACGG